CGCACAACTTTAAAAAGCTGACGAGCTTAAATCTCAGCCTCAGCCAATAAAGACATGTCATCTATAACCCCACGTCAAATACGAGGCACTAAACCAACTCTGGCTCAGCCTCGGTAGATTAATGTATTTATGGACCATAAAGTTGTAAAACTTCTGTGCTGGCTTTTGGTGATGACTTTACATACTTTAAATCAATTGCACAAAAGCCTGTTCAAGACTGTGGACTCTTTCTGTTTTGACGGGGTAACTAACAGATTAGAGTATAAGAAGTAGTAACCCTTCTTTACTCTAGACAGGCAGACCACCTAAGCTGCTAGCGGTGCAATTAGATTTTGTTTGAGAGGTAAATGGCCCTCAGGGAGTTGGACAAAGGCTTTCATTGTCAAACTCCTGGCCCACACGGTTAATGACATTGGAAATAGGAATGGGTTTACTATTGCTAACTATGTCAAGTGTTTCAAGTGTCTGTTTATCCTGCTGTCTCTCCCACGTAGAATGTGAAACCCTGGTGGAGTTCTTTATGGATAAAAAGAGAGGAGGGATCCAGGACAACCTGCTGGAGATAATGGCAATGAATATATTCTGGCGCTCCTCCAGATCTGTCTTCTTGTGCAAGGCTGTGAGTGAAATTCACTTTGCCAGTGGTTAGCTATGCCCATTACTCACTCAACTGTGCTGCAGTGATAGCAAGGGGCCCAGAGAGTTAGGACCGAACAGCAGCACATAACAGAACAATGGTGATGATGAATGTTGATAGACTGCCGCCGGATTTTTGAAGTGCTCCAACTACACGTGGCGTTTGCATCGCATGTGTGGTCAGTTGAGCAATTTGTTGGTTCACTTCTCGTGTTATTGTGTTATAATCCAGAGCTGGTAATTTCATAGATCAAAGCTTTCAGTGTAAGATAGAAGACAAGGCTGTTGTAAAGTCATGACAGACTTTAAAGTGTATTATATCACTTGGGCAGTCAGCGATCCACTTCTCTAAAAGAGTTTGCCTGAACATGCCCTACCCCCCCCCTCCTTCACACACACTCACACACAGGCGTTCATCACTTCCTCCACTGAAATTGGTGGAATTCCAGGATCTCGGCTCGCGGCTGGATGACGATAGTATCGCTTGTCTGCCAGCAGGCCTGTCTGTTTTTCTCTGATGGTGTTGGTTTCTCAGGTTAGCTCAATCAGACGGGCAGGTTTGTGCCTGGTCCTCAGCCAGATGTATATACAGGAGGAGCCAGCAGGCAGAGTAAAAAAGAGCAGTGCTCACAGAGATGGGGGGGGGGGGGGGATGCTACTTCCTGTGCATCTGTTGTGCCTATGGGCAGCCATGGTTTAGACTACACCTCAGTGGATGTGTCAAGACCCCAGTTTACCCCTTACTCCTCAAAATTCCTTCCTTGACAGGAAATGATGTTGTGTAGGAGTCTGTAGGAATTATTGTTACTGCAGAATTTTTCCTTTCTGAAGCTTCAATCTCTGTCTGACCGGTGCACAGCTTTGTGAGAAAGCTTGCTCACTGTGGAAGAGTTTGAGGTTTAACTGCAGTTTGGCACCAGTCTTTAGTTGCTGCTGTCAGTTTATACAAACGTCCGCAGAAAGAAAGGTTTTCCCATGTTATTTCCCCAAATCTCAGTCAGCTGTCAGTTAAGTGTTGTGGCGGTGAGTCAGGGTTTTACCATATGATTCTGATACAAACGCGCTCAACACACATCATTTTCATTTTTTGTTGAAAGCCTTCTCGCTATTTTTCTGTCGGTGAGTCTTTCTGTCCTTATCAGGCATGTATCCTTCTAGTTCTCTGATGCTTCTGTTTCCCTTGTTTCCAAATTCTGGTGCAGTGTTTGCTTCATCTCTATCTCTCCAGTTCCCCTTGCATCTAATTAATTTGGTTTTCCTGGCAGTCCTCATATATACAGCCATAGTGATGTTCTCGTGCCAGGCAATTTTCAAAGACTTCACTATGTTGGAATGGGGCCCCAGTCTTGCCCAAGCCAGGACAGAGGGACCTTTGTGCCTGCTGCCCAACAGCCCAGTCAGCCCTTAGAGCATGGAAAGATTAGAAGACAGGGAGAGCCAATGGGCTAAATGGTAGGGTGCCTGTTTGAAAGCCAGTGGTGTCAGCCAAACAGCCCCTTAGCCCCATTGAAGCACGCAGTAATTACAAGCTTGTAGGGCAATCCTTCGGCTCCTTTGTCGTGGCTTTGGAAACACTTGCCCAGTCTACTGGGAAACATCATCCCCCCTCTGTATGGCTACCCAGGACGAACAGTCTTTCAACTCCAGCATGTTGTCCTCTGAGACATCAGTTAGCCAAGTCAGCTCAGCAACCGTGATTCCCCTCCAGGAGGCCCTGACTTTAAGAACGTCTAGCAACCATGCTGTGTCGTGATGATGACTCAGGTCATGTTCTTTTTAATCACTCTGATTTTTGTGAGTCAGAATTGAAAGTCCCCGACCCGAGGTTCATGTTTCTGATTCACCCCACACTACTGTGCACATCTGTTCTGCTGACTGCTGTCTGTCTTCCACCTTTTAATTCTGTTAGTATGTGTGTATGTTTGGTCACAAGATCCTGGAAGGCCTGCTGTCTGACTCACCTGTAACACAAGCAGGCTTAGTCTTTAGAGTAGCATGTTACTCTGTCAGAACGCCGTCCTCTGTGTCTAGACTTGTTCCTACAGCCGGAACAACACATTGTAGCACCTTAGAGGTGTGCAATGATGTCACCAGCCCACACTTTACAACTGTACCACCGCTTTGCTCATCTCTTGATCAGCCTGATGGACCAGATGGGAGGTCAGAGCCCCAATTAACAGGAAGTTAACCTCATTTAGTCAACAGGCTCAAGCTGTCTGGACATGTCCCACAGCCTTATGAAAACTCAGTTTAATTCTGCATGGATGTTGTGGGTCTCTTGTTTTTTCTTAGTTTGCTCCTAGCTTCTTTCTGACTGTCTCTCACACTTAAAAACCTGTCTCTCATTGTCCCACAAACTTACACAAGACCCACTCTGTCAGTCCCTATGCCACACTCTTCACTTTAATCTGAGAAGACCATGAAGCCAGTCACCTGTCTGCATGTTCGTCAGTGGGGAGATTAGAGGCCTGTTTTCTGGGACGTGTGTGTGTGTTCCTTCTATTCTTCTGTGTGTCCCTTTAGACCCTCGGCAGCATGGGGGAATGAGGCCCAGCACTCTGGGACTGGGCAGTTAAACTTACATTCCTTGACTATTTTCACTCTTATTCATGTCAGAGAAACGAGGGTGTTAGTAGGACATGAATGAGTTTTTTTAATTACTTAATGAGTTTTCATTAATCTGCTCTACTCCCATGCCCCAAAGAATTGGTTCATTCACTACAGGATTGTATAGTTGGGAAGCTTCCTTATGTGACAGACGAAAGATCACAGTGGCGATATTTTCTTTCATCTTTTTTTAAATTCCTTCTGGCTGAAGATTTCATATCATGTAACCGTGAAGCTGAATCTTCATCTGAAAATTGCCAAGTCCATTTCATTTGATATTCTTTTGCAAAGAATTCAGCTCATCATCAGACTGTTGTGCGGATATTAGGCACCATAGGAAACCTTCTATAATGAATTTCTTGTTTGAGGACCCTGTTCACTACTGATGTATTTTTGTGGTTCAGAAAAGTTGAAATATGGAGGAGCATAATTTTTCAGCAAACCAAATACCATTTCGACACACTGTTGAGGTAGAAGAGGAATTATGCCTGTTAGTCTTACTTTTAAGATCTTATGCTGCTTGGTTTTGCTCGATATTGGACAGAAGGGCTCTCTACTGTATACTATGCACAGGTTTAGAGGTTTGTTGTCAGACAACACTCTTCTGTCTTTTGAAGATGCTTTGCCCCAGGCACTCTGAAAACAGAATCATCTCCAAAGGCTTGAGATTTCACACTTGCACTCTTTTTCTGACTTGTAAAATGATGTTGATGTTATCAAACAAATTGTCTAGAGAACATTTGACCCATCTCTCAGTTCACTGTGACATTGTTGGTCACATATTATGCACTCCTTTCCATTTCTTTACTTTTTTCAAGCGAAGGCTGGTGGCTTCTCTCTAATAAGTAAGTGTATGTGTCTTAATTAGCATAAAGTTGGCCCTGATGTTGGGATGCAGTGTGAAGGTGGCTGTGCTGTAGGCCCGTCACAGTGTACTCATCGCTTGTGGCTAATGTGATCACAGCCGCAGCCAGGCAGGGCTGACAGAGAGTGGAGCCTTAATCTCCCCCAGTGTCTCACTGCCAAATTGGCCCGATTTGTCAGGCAGAGGATCATCACCCACTTCTCAGATGACTTTCAAAGGGCCCCTTTGCTTTTTGATGTGCAGCTACAAAAAACACGGCATTACAATTCACTAATGTTGGCTACCAAAGGGGCACACCAAGAGACATTAGACAAGTCACAAGCCAAGAGTCAATGACAGAGGGATGTTTAGAGGTATGCCAGCTGAAGAGAATCAGCTAATAATTAATTTATTAATAGATCCAGATAATTTCCCGCCCACTTACGTGTTATCTTGGTTATGACATAAGTCCTGAACAGGTTTATTAAATTGGCAACTAAGGCATTTTTACTCTTCTCTTGGGATAAAATAACAAATAAAGGCATCATTTTACTTTCAGTTCTTTTCTAGATGCCCTAAAATTAACACGTTTGGATTTTAGCTCAGCTGTGGTGTCTATGAGCATTGAATATGAGGAATTTTAAGAGTGATTAAAAAAAAGTTGAGAAATGTTCGTGCTTGGCTTGAGAAGTAAGATTGTAATTACCATTGTGCTTTCTCCTTAATCAAGGAGAGTTTAACAAAGTTAATCATGTTTGAAGTCATCTGGTTTTCCAATACTAAGGATCTTATTTCAACAACTTATTAACTGAAGACCTGCTACCCAGTTTGGTTTCTCTTTTTCCCGTTTGTGGTTATCTGCTCTCCAGACCCTTACTACTCTTGTATTAACCGTTTTTTCTTTTCTTTTCAGGATAGTGGGTTTGGAGTTTGGAGAGAAAAATGCCAAGCAGCAGTGTTGACACAGTTGAGGAAGCAGTATGCAGGCCTGAGTGCTGAAGAGGTGGGGTTGCCCCTTCCCTTTTTCTGCCTCTTCCCTTGTTGATCCAGACAATCAACCTGCTCATGAAGTCAGGGAGCAGCATCCCATTCCAGAGGCAGCGATGCCTCCCTGCTAAGTGCCTTTAGCCATTGGCACTGGTGTCATGACCAGCCTGAAGGGCCCACCCATGGAGCGCACCGTTGGGGGTTCCATCCCGCCACTGATGAGTTTTACACCCGCCACCTCCGTATGGTCAATGGAGGGGCTGTTCCAACCCGCACAGATAATGTCCATGCCACTGTGAGCACAGGAGTGCCTAAAATGGGTGTCCGGGCTCGGGTGGCTGACTGGCCCCCAAGGAAAGACATTGCAGGGGTTGTGTGGAACTCCGCTACAGAGCCTGAGAACTCTGGTGTGCCCTCTGCTACAAAAAGTCACATTAAGTTAGGCTCTATAATGAGCCCTCAGGACTCGTCAATGCTGCGTAACATTCACAATACTTTGAAGAATCGAACCCATGCCCAGGGTAACAACTACAGCCCGGACACCCGTTACCTAGTCCCAGGAGACTACAGAGGTCCTGCACATAGAAACCCACGACAGAGACGCATCCGTCAGCGCAGCAACAGTGACATGACCATCAGTGAGATGGAAGGCAGTGGAGACAGTGGAGAGGATTGGAGTCCAACATCGGGAGCCAAATGGTCCCCTCTTCATCGTGAATATGGTAGCACCTCCTCAATAGATCAGCATGGAGCATCTGGAGAGAGCTTCTTTGAAATGCTTAAGGGCTATCAAGGGGACAAATTTGACCAGCGGAGCCCTGCTCCAGAGAAACTGGAGGACATGCTAAATGTTGGGCCCAAACTGACCAACGTTGATCTTCAGGAGGATCCCACAGAAGGCAAGCCTCCTAAAACCAAGGACAGAGATAAGCCCCCTAAGAGAAGAACTAAATCCGAGACAGGGAATGAGTCTATATTCCGTATACTTCGGAACGTGCGGGGTGAATCAGACTCCCCCAGAACAGGGTCTGACATAGAGGACAGCCGGACAGAGGACATGGGCCCCCCTCTCAAGCCCTGGGTGTGTCAGAAAGGCTTTGCACACTATGATGTTCAAAGCATGCTGTTTGACCTCAACGAAGTTACTCAGTTACGGCAGATTGCAGGCAAGAGGAAAAATACCACCACAGGGGCATCTGCTGCCGCTGTAGCCTCGGCTACCTCCACCCTCTCGTCCACACACAGCCTGCCTTACAGCTCCCCAAGTGGAAGCCAGGAAGAGCTCAGTTCGAGGGACAGTCCTGGCCTGGACGCAGGAGATGAACAAAGCAATGAAATGCTGCTAAGTTGCCCCTGCTTCCGCAATGAGATAGGTGCCGATGGCAATGGGAGGCGTAGATTGGGAGCAGGCGGGGTAGGTTATCATGGGCTTGTGGGTGGTGGTGGAGCAGGTAACAGTGGCTCAGGGACCCTGAGTGGGGAAGGAAACTTATATGAAACATCTGTGAGCACGCACTGCACAAATGCTGGAGTAGCAGTGCTAGAGGGCCCGAAGGAAGGCCCCAGCACACTCAGTGAAAAGGGCAAACAATACATTGTGGAGCATGTGGACCTGGGAGCCTACTACTATAGGAAGTTCTTCTACCTTAGGGGTAAGATCAGTTTAACTGCTTTCATTGCATGCACTCATTACTATATGACTGTGTGTTGTTTAAAGCAGTTTGATATTCCCCAACAGATTTTTTTAAATGTTGCTTCTCTGCTGCTTCCTTTACCTCAGAGCACTGGAACTACTTTGGGATGGACGAGGCGCTGGGTCCAGTGGCAGTGAGCTTGCGCAGGGAGAAGCTGGAGGAGGACAAGGAGCACGGCCAGCAGTATAACTACCGCCTCATCTTTAGAACCAGCGAGGTCAGCCATAGTGTCCTATCCTTCTTACACCCCAACCTCAACCTCAGCACCGCAACCCATCAATGCTTCCTGCTCCGGACTGAATCTGTCCACAGCATTTACCGATGCAGTCCATTTTTTTTTTTTTGCACTCACAAATTTGGGAAGGAAATTATTTTGGTTGACTGAGACACAACATTCATATTTTGGCATTTTTGTCTTAACTGACAGTTATGCTTGCTTGGTTTGTATATGCTGTTTATCTGTATAGAAGGTGTGTATAGCTCAGTTACTACAATCCCTGCTACATACTAGGAAGATCAGCTTGTGGTAAAACCAGTCTTAGTCCGTGTCTCTTATTATGCAACCAGCCCTCGGGCTATTCAGCTGTCTCCCAATATCAGCAATGTGTGAAGAAACTTTAGGAAGTGCACTCATCTTCCAGCCTCCAAGGCCTGTCAGTGCTCAACAACCTCAAACCACTGTGGGTAGAGCATAACTTCTGTGTTTCAGTAAAAAAATAGACATATTTAGTTTCAGTGTTGGCACTCAGTCTTCTGTGTTTGGTTTGGGATTTTGGGTTTTAAAGTTTAGGTTATGGGATTTATGATATTACATTCCCAGACAGAGGGTGAAGGCACCTGCCTGAGGCTGTTTGTTGTGGACTGAAGTAGGACAGGTGCATGTGATTAAAACCCCGCACTTTAGACTAAAGCACTACACAACCACCGCCCCCTATCCTACCTTTCAAACATGGGGAACACAGATCCATTGTAAACACAGCCTCAAAGTTGTAGGAGAGAAAGTTTCAGCCCGTTCCAGCTGCTTATGATAGCAGAGTAATTGAGTTCACTCTCAGAGCCCTGCACAATGCAGACTTTGTGCACACAGAATGCTTGAACAAGCCCTCCCACTTCTTCTTCCTCTGTTCCATTTTCTGTTTACCCAGGGCCTTGATTCATAATTGTCGTGTTATGTCATGTCAGCTTCTTTAACCGTACAATAAGAGAATGGTGTTACTTTAGAACGATTTGTATCTTTTTTTTTCCTGGTGTCTGGTCTGGCATGGTTTTGCTATCAGTATTTTACATCTTCAAGAGCAAGTTCAAAGCACACCAAGGATTCCTGAAATGCATTCTTTCTCTTTCTCACTCTCCTCTCTATAATCTCTGTCCATTCAGCTGACAACTCTTCGAGGTTCCATCCTGGAGGATGCAGTGCCTTCCACCTCTAAGCACGGCACCACCCGCGGGCTGCCCATCAAAGAGGTACTGGAGTACATTCTCCCTGAGCTGGATCTGTCCTGCCTCAGACTGGCACTCAACACACCCAAGGTCACTGAGCAGCTGATGAAACTGGATGAACAAGGGGTAAGAGGATAAACCAAGATGAAGTTTTATTTTACAGAATCAGATTTTTTTTTGCAGCTCTGTATAACCGCTTGCCTGAATTTGTACAGAAAGGGAATTTGTGTTTTGTGAGTTCCCGTTTAATACTTTGTCCTGCCATGAACTGTATATTGTCTAGATCTATTGAAAAATTGGGTCTGCTTCTGTGCTGTTGCACAGCTGAGTTTTCAAGTGAAGGTCGGGGTGATGTACTGCCGAGCCGGCCAGAGCACTGAGGAGGAGATGTACAACAACGAGACGGCTGGTCCCGCCCTGGAAGAGTTTCTCCAACTGTTGGGGGAGAAGGTTCGCCTCAAGGGCTTCACCAAGTACCGAGCCCAGCTGGACACCAAAAGTAACACACACACACACACACACACACACACACACACACACACACACACACACACACACACACACACACACACACACACACACACACACACACACACACACACAGTATTTGTGCTTTTATTCTTTAATGGCCCCAGTTGTGATGCTAAAGCTCCTTGAGGCAAATTGTGATTTGAAATATGTTGAACTATACAAATAAAATTGACTTGACTTGATGCACCTTTAAAGCAATCAATTATTGTAGTTGACTTGTAGGTGTAATGTGTCTTTTACTGCCAAGCTCATGGTCATAACTTTTTTATTAATAGCAGTGTTGATTTAAGTTAGTTTAACTTTAGTTTCAGCAATTAAAGGAAGAGCTTGACTCTTAAATGCAGGTCCCAGTTTGCTCCTTCATACTGCACTACACTCTATAGTGCTTCTATTTTGCTCTTTTATCTTGCTTTTGTTGAAATATTTCCTTCACTGGACCTAACTTTCTCCCACCAACTTTGTCCTTGTAACACTTTCATCTTTTTTATTTCAACTCTGTCTAAGTATCATTTTATCTCTGGCGTGTCCGCTACAGTAATCCCTCAGTGGTACTAATAAGCACATAGATATACTGTGATTGCATCTGGCTTAACAAACAAAGATTTGGTGATTAAATGAAAAAGCTTTATCATTTCTGGTTTATGACCTAGTTGTCCACAAAGAAACATTGTACTGGAAACTGTACTGTCACCAACGAGTGCAAAGGGCTCCACTTATAGGACGACACTTGGGTGAAACAGTTGATTGAGCATTGTTTTTGACAGTAAACTTATCCAGGCTGACATTGATCCACAGTTCACTGTTGTCTAGTTGTTTGAGCTGTGGTGAAACTCCATCCCATCTCGCACATAAAACACTGAGCACACAGAATTCACATGTGAGAGAGATGGACGGCAGTCATTTTGTTTGCTTTTTCCTGCAGCGGATTCCACAGGCACTCACTCTCTATACACGACTTACAAGGACTATGAGATCATGTTCCATGTGTCGACTCTGCTGCCTTACACACCCAACAACAAACAGCAGGTAAAGATGAGTATGTGTATCAGGACATGGAAAACTCCTTCTGTTTGGAAAACAGATGTACTACGGAACACCTTAAAGCAGTGGTTCTCAAACTTTTTCTGTCATGACCCCATTCATCAAAAGCTAAAAAAAGTTCATGCTTTGTTGTTTTCCAATGACTAGTTGCTGAGGAAGCGCCACATAGGGAACGACATAGTGACCATCGTGTTCCAAGAACCTGGCGCTCACCCCTTCACCCCCAAGGTCATTCGCTCTCACTTTCAACATGTCTTCATCATTGTACGGGTGCACAATCCCTGCTCTGACAACACATGCTACAGGTGGGTCTTTTGTATTTCAGCAGAGATAACATAGCAGGATAATCGCTAAACTCGACGTAATGTACAACCCGCTTGGCTTGGAGGTGTACGTTTTTTCTTCTGCACATGTATACATGTGAAAAAGCAGTGCTGGTGTATGTGGCATGTGTGCTGAACAAAACCTCTTCCTGAATAAGTGACAACCCATCAAAAGCCTAGGAAATGTTTGACTCTCTCAGAGAATTGTGACTATGGATCTGCAACTGACACTGAGGTTAAGGTTAGCCCACCAGCTATGAACATACTGTATATGACCGTATCCAGAAACTAAGGAGACTCACAATTCTAAGTCCAGACTGACCAAACCCAGTAGCAATGTTGAATAATATCTGGTTATAACATACCATCTCGTTACTAGACCCTTTTTATGGAAACCTTAAAAGCTCCACACCACTTTCAGTGCTACCAGCTGTGTTGTTTTTATGCAGGTAGCTAGTGGCATTAAGACAAAAGCATTGACCGGGAGGCATGGGTCAAACATAAAAGCCTGTTGTGAGACCGTCCCATATTACTGGATTGTGTGTGTTCATGTCTTCTGCATGTCTGCAAAAGTAGACATTTGTTTGATTATAGTCAAATAGAATAGATTAGCCCTGTAGTGGCTGTCGAACTGATGGGAGTTCTCCTCATCTCCTCCGCTGGCCGGCTCTTGGCCTCGTGATATCAGACAGCAACTCTGTGGCATTCACACTTATGCATCGCTACCCCTTCGCACACACACTTCCTTTGCTCTGCATACACAGATATTAAACCCACATAGTGCTCCCTCTCACTCCCGTACTCCCATTTCTCCTTTTTACCTCTTTCTCATGCTCACTTGCACACAGTTACACACAGTCGCACACACATGCGCGCACTTTTCCCCATGCACACTAATTCACTCAAAGGCTCTTTCTTCACACACACACACACACACACACACACACACACACACTCATATAATACAAGCCCCCCCCCTTTCTCCTCCTTCTCCTCTCCCCGCCTGCCACTTTGCCTTTGGGCAGCGTGAGCCGGAATGGTCTGAAGGAGTTAGCGCCATGCACATGAAGTGCTCTCTTCACCCAGACATGCATGTGAGCAGGGAGGATTGTGGAGAGCAAATTCCCCCCTCAGAGCTCACAGTGTCCATCTCAGGAGCGCATGGGTCAGGCCAGCCTTCTGTCTCTCGGCTCACACAAGCCTCAAATTCAGGCTAATTTATTTTGAGCCCTTCTTTTTGTCGCTCTCTGGCAAGTTCCTTTTTTTTCTGACCAGGTACTCCATCCCATCGATTATTGGACATCTTCTTTCAGCTTGCTTCAGGGTGCATCTTTTAGTTTTTAATCTGGGAAAAGAGAAAGGAGAACGCTGGTCCTCCTGGTTTGCCTTTGGCTTCTACTCACACTCTGTGGATCGAGGCACCATATGTTAGGACTTCACTCCTAATTATTTGTCGCAAGTCTTTCCATGGATGCTTTCCCCTGTTGGTTTTGGGTCCAGACAAGAGAACGCAGGCTACTACAAGGATTTGCAACACCAAACCGACTGAAGTGTCGAATTGTAGCTGCAGAACAGAAACGAGTCGACCCATTAGTCATTAATTGCAAAAAGATTCAGGATGTTGTTCATTAATACTCTGAAGAGCATCGTTGCTTTTTGGTGAAACCAGGAGGTAAGTTATAGTGTTTGTGTTGATGTTTGTAGTTTGTGGGGTGTTGGTGGTTGTTAAAACCATGCAGAGTAGTTGATGCAGTGATTTGATGTTGCCACTAGCTCAATACCAAGCTCTGTGTATTTCATCTGATCACACAATTGCAAACAAAAACAATACACACACACACTCATATACAGATCACACTTACATAGATTCCTACACACACACACACACACACACAAATATACTAGCTTGAAACTTGATGTCCCACAAAGAGATTTTTGTTTGTTTGGATTTTTTTATATAATTTCATGTGACTGTCTTCATATCTTGCATAAGGCCATTCAATAATGTGGTGTCTTTACTTCTCTAATCTCTATTAATAAAGAGCATGTAATGATTTGTTGAGCCATCCAGTTATTAATAGCCTGTTGTTGCCTCCTGCTGAGATTTGGATAATGCTCAGGTCATATTGAGCCAGACCGGAGCATTAGAGGAGTAAGTGGCCCGGGGCCAGCAGGGTGCTAATCTGCTGCTTTCAACCGCTGCCTCAAAGTCCCACAGGGCCAGCAAGGCTGATTGCATAACTAGACCTTTGTTTAGGAAACATTTGTGCTTGCTAGCTTTAGCTGCAGCACAGCTTCCCATACCATGATGTAGCAAAGACTGGCAGAGTTTCAGCACAGGGAGCTGACTTGTCAACTGTGATTGGATGTATAGTATTTATACGCTGGGGTGTAGTCAGGCATGGTTTGCAACATTTCAGCTACAGGCAATGGCTGCGTTATCTGTTTAATGGACTGGATAGAGACTTGTCAGACTGTCATGTCAGCTTATCCAAGACCATGTCTCAGTTTTCTTGTTTTTCATGGGCTTTTAGTGTATATGCTACTGACTCTATGCTTAAAAGCACACTGTATTTGTTGTACATTGGGCCTGTTTTATTATGAACAACAGATACAACAAGGAGCGGTAGAGGCTAACAAGAGTAGAGCCTTGTTTGCAGGAATTCTAACGCCCTCCTTTATACTCAAAAGTGAAACAGGTCAAAGGCAACAATACCTTAGGGGGAAACTATGTAAAGATGTTTCCACTGTGCATTTTTTTTAGCCCATGTGCTGTTTGTCTTTGCAACTTTTAACTTTTTTCCCCTGGTTATAGGACATAGAAACAAGTTATGTTAGCTTTTAGTGTTTTTATCATGTGTCATGCTTTGGTTTTATGCAAAACATCTTGTTGTGTTTCATGGTATTTATATTTTGTCATTTTGATGTATTTGTCTTCACATATACAGCACGTATCCAAATACTCAATTCAACATGCCTTCTTTGTTTTCCTGTATTTTTTTTGCCACTTTCAGAGTCAAACCAAACCGTACTTTTAAAGTACATTACTGAAGGCCTTTAAAAAGTGGTTTACAGGTATGGTTTATCTGTGTACTATAGCAGTGACCTCAAACCCCTCCTCTTTTTTTCTCTCTACAGTGTGGCTGTCACCCGTTCCCAGGACGTTCCCTTGTTTGGCCCACCGATCCCCAAAGGCGTGACCTTCCCAAAATCCACTGTCTTCAGGGACTTCCTGTTGGGCAAAGTCATCAACGCTGAGAACGCAGCCCACAAGTCAGATAAGTTTGGTGCCATGGCAACACGCACACGGCAGGAGTATCTGCGGGACTTGGCAGAGCGTCATGTAACCAGTACTCCAGTAGAACCCACTGGAAAGTTCCCCTTCATCTCTCTGGCACACAAACGACGGGAGAAGGTGCGCCCATACAGTGGGGCGGAGCTCCGGAGCCTTGGGGCCGTGACCTGGCAGGTCCATGCTGAAGACCAGGTAGCCGGAGCCGAACGCGAATGCCTGTTGGCCATTTCAAATGACTTCATCATCTTATTGGATCAGGAGGCCAAAGCGGTCGTGTTTAACTGCGCCACGCGTGATGTGATTGGTTGGTCAACGGGGAGCCCCGCCTCCATGAAGATCTACTATGAGCGTGGTGAGAGTGTATCACTGCGCTCCATCAATAACAACACGGAAGACTTTGGAGAGGTTGTCAAAAGACTGGAGGTCAGTGGGGCACCACTACTGTCTATGACAGTGCATCTCATTAGCACACACCATCTGCTGTTGCTATCAGAGGCTACACTGAGCCAAACACTCTGACAAACAGCTTGTAATGAACATCACAGTCCTTGTACCTCTGACTTTCTGAATGCATACTGCTGTTCTCATTATATTTACATTATATCTAGTTATCTGGAAAGTTAATCCTTTACAGATAGTATTGATTCAAACAGTTGAAGAAACCATCAATTAAACAACCAGTGTCAATGAGTGCAAAGGTCAGGGCCTTTTGGAATATCCATGTAGTCAGTGAACAGGTGTGTAGTTAAAAAGAGATTAGTGAAGTGTTTCACTGGTTTCAGTGACTTCCAGACCCATGATGCGTGAGGGCATAATAATAGTATTGTTCATGTTAATATAGAAAACTAAGGGCGTAGCCTCAAATCATACAGTCACCAAAAAGCCACAGCTGTTGTGCTGACTCTATGATTTTCAGTCATGTTATGCATAATACATAGTAATTTGGTGATATGATATCATTACTGAGGTTTTCAGTGTGCTGTAGGTAAGGCATTGCTTCTTGGCGGTGCATTTGGATCATTCTTTTGACACTGCAGTTCTTCTTGGTGGTAATCAAATTAAAGATTTACTGTTGCCTGCCACCCGTACTGGCACGTGCCCTTCTTTGTAAAGCAACAATGTGTTTTTCCCCCTTTTTTTCTCCTGGCTTTTGTTGTGGGCATCAACAAATGCTTCAGAACTTTAGCTAACTGGAACTCTGCTCCCTCAGGGCTGTACTAACTACTATTTACTTCTCACTTAACTTCCCACAGGTAGAGCAAGAGCTAGACGTAGTGTCTAACGGTAGTCAGTTATCATGGGAGTGTTCAGTATTCATAGTATGTGTTTGAAATATGTGCCTCAGCTTGGGTAGGATTAGAGCTAGTGTCAGATGCATTTTAAAAGATGTGGTTGAGGCTCTGAAGGTTTTTGAAAGAATTTTAATACACATGCATTTCTTCTACTCTTTCTCTGATTTGCCCTTTTGCACCTCCACTCCCTCACTTTATCTGTTCTGAAGCTGTTGACCAAGGGCAGTCAGACCACAGAGATGACCCTGCGCCGTAACGCCCTGGGCCAGCTGGGCTTTCATGTCAACTTTGAGGGCATTGTCGCTGAGGTGGAGCCCTATGGTTATGCTTGGCAGGCTGGGCTCAGGCAGGGCAGCCGATTGGTGGAGATTTGCAAGGTGTCGGTGGCTTCACTGTCTCACGAGCAGATGATCGACCTGCTCAGAACCTCTGTTACTGTCAAGGTGGTCATCATTCCCCCACACGAGGACTCCACACCACGCAGGTAGTGTGGATATACATGATCTATAGATGCATGAGAAACTCTGCTTAATGCGGTTGTCTGTGGCTTTTTGAGGCTTTCTCTAAAATATTCTGACTGTGATGTGTCAACAGAGGCTGCTCAGAAATCTACCACATGCCACTAGTGGATTACAAGAACCACAAGGAGGGCATGCCCTACGAGTTAAAGTTCCCCTTCCGCCCCACCAACAACAACACCAACACCAAGTGGCCGCGTACCTCATCCAGCCCTCAAACACGAGCTGCCGGCACTGGGGGAACGCTGATTAAGGCTCCACCTTCAGACTTCAGTGACCGCAACTCTGCTGCTATTCCCCGAAGTGTGTCCAGCGATGGGCGGCCACTCAACCCCAAAAGGTCACAAAATAAATATAATGCTGTTATGGAACTTGCCGATACACTGAACACAAAGCTGTCTGGTTGCAGCGTGAAGTTCGTCTATAGTGACATACTTATGTGTCGCCACAGATATTCGCCAGGGAACGACAACTACGCTCTTGCCTGCTCCATTGTGATGGGTCGAACGATGCACAACATAAACTCCCCTTCCAGCCTCTCCTACACAGACACCATGAGCTCCAACCACTGGAGGCAGAAGTCGATGCCTGATGGGTAAGTTCTTCTGCCCCTTACCATGGGTTAAATATGCTGAATTGGCCTGTTGCACTGCATCTGGCAACATAGGTGACCTTCCTCATTTTCCCCTCTAGGTTTAATAACAACTGCCAGTCCCCTGTGTCATCTACACGACATGTGTCAGGTGAGGGGATCAATGGGATCAAAGCAGGCTCTAGCACTGGTATTGCATGGTCCCGACCTGGGGAGGGGGAAGCAGCCAGTAGACAGGGTGACAAAACCAGTGCGGGTAAGAGAGACTCTGGTCTCAGCATTGAATAAGACAGTATTACTGTGCTGTCAAGTCTGCAGATTTCACTACCCCATATGTCTTTGCTTCCTACAGACACTGTTGTTTCCAAGGCAGTGATTCCTCGACTTCAACCGTCAGAGCAGAGCAGCCACATGTCTCCCAACAAAAGCACTAAGGTGAGCCGGAATCAGCAAGTACCATGCTGAATGTAATTTCCTTGCTCCTATTTGATGGAAGGTTACGAGCTGAAGGACTCCCTGTGGTAACCTAAGGGATCTAGCATTTGTATACCAACGTGTACTAAGAACAGTCATTCAAATGTCTCTAACATCAACTTACAATATCATTTGGGTTCTCCGAGTCATTAAAGTAAAATTTGTACTGTAAAGATGTGCTAATTTGGCTTCTCATCTCTGAATAGCCGGATGGTCCGTATTCATCCAGCCAGTCAAGTAGCAATACTCTCTCGAGCAACGCCTCCAGCTCCGCCCACAGCGATGAGAAGTGGTATGAAGTGGGCTCACGTTCAGGAGTGCGGAGCGATCTTGAGCTCAACAGCTATCTTCAGGGCACGTCAACCGACAGTGGCATCGACGCCTCCTCGTTCACTGCCACACAAAGCAGCACAGCTTCCTCAACCGGTGCCTTCCGGACCAAAGACAAAATCCCATGGCAGGAGGACGCAGCTGGCAGCCAGAGGGCCACAGACACTCCACCTCCAATACCAGACTCACTTGTCGCTATCGGAGGCAGTGAGATCCCAGCGAAGAGTCCAACAGGTTTTCCCCTAGTTCACGATAGTGGCTCCTACAACCTGAGTGATGCCGCCTCCCACTCCAGGTGTGCTGCTGTTCTGTGAGAGTCAGCTTTAGGCAGCTGTGGAATTTGTGCCCTTGCATCAATGTTTTATTAAACAGACAGTGATTCATTGTAGTCCAGATATATCCTGTACCACCCCAGATGGAAAAGTCCAAAGCTCTGCAGTTTGGCAGTAACAAAGGAAGACTGAAATAACTGTGTGTGTGTGTGTGTGTGTGTGTGTGTGTGTGGTTTTGCATTTGTATGTATCTCCATCTCCCAGTATCAGTGATAGAAAGGAAGTACTTGAAGTTGCTAGAAATGCAGACTGTGAGCTCAGCACTGTTCCCCCACTTCCAAATCCCACTTCCTTTGAATCTACTAAAGCTTTCCTCACTTTCTTCTTGCTCTCAGCCAGAAATAACTCAGCTCCACCAGACCTGTACATTGGCAGCTTTGTTTTATAGTATGTGCACGCTTGCACACAGACACAAAACTTGCTGTTTGAAAATTCAAGCTTTCATGTCAAACTATGGAGAAATGGTATTTGAAGGTGCTGAAAATTCAGTGCAAGGACACAGTGTCCTATATTTTAACTAAAAATCATCAGTTTATTCCATCTGCAGAGATAATACGATATGTAGTGATGGAACAGGTTAACTAATGTTTTTTAAGGGAATCTGTTTATGTCCTGTTTATATATGCAAACAGTCTTAATGCTAAAAGTCTAAAAATCTAAAAGTTTGAATTAGAAGAAAAGTCATTTTTTAGTGAAATTAAAGATATTGATGCTTGATCATCAATCATGCTAATTGAACAAAGGCCAGAGTAAAATTCAACAACGAAAACCCTATAAATGAATAGCACTATACAGCCACTTAATCTGCTCTTGGTGCTTGTTTATTTTATAACTACATGAATATCAAAGTCTGTGATGCCTTCCTTTACCCATGCACATGTCTTCACCTTACTCCACCTTTCTCCAGCACCCTAAGCTCTGGCCACTCAGGGAGTCCGATGGGCTGCAGCCCCATGTCGCCACAAGACGAGGCAGCCGCTGCAGCCACCTCACCCACATCCCCGAACTGCCAGTCCCCGGGGACCAAGAGTTTCTACCCTCGTCAAGGAGCGACCTCGAAGTACCTGATTGGCTGGAGGAAACCTGGGGGAACGGTCAACTCTGTGGACTTTGGCAGCACTCGCAAGTAAGATGGGAATCATTTTTTTCCGCCATCTGTGAATCTCTAAAACTATGTCAGTGCAGTGCTGTATGTTTTGATGAAATTATCAGTGTAGAAATGCGTCATGCTGTTGGTGATGTTGATGTTTTAGAGACTGGGGAAAGGAGTGAATATTTTGTCCCAATGACTGCTCACCTAATAACTTTGAATCACCTTTTTAATTTTGGCCAACACTGCCACCATGTGGTTTAGCTGAGTTTGAAACCGTTCAAAGGAAATCTTTTGGTTCCCAGAGAAGGGTGACTAAACATAATTGCCCTGTTTCATTCATTCAATGCAGCATATTTCTCATTGTTTGGGTGGGTGATTGCATCATTTGTGGTTGATGACAACTGTTTTCACACTACTGTAGTCTACAGCTGCTCAACAAACCACAGTTTTTCCTGGAAATTAAGTGGTGAAGTGTCTTGTCAGGGGCATGTCAACATCACATTTGGAAAGAATAGTTGCAGCTCCTCATCTTTCACAATTTCCTATCCAGTCTCAGAATTTGAACTGATGACATTTAATCCCAGGCGTGATTTGTTATATTCATCACCTCTATTGCCGTTGCTTGATTTTCTATACAATGTGCGATATTTACATTTAAGAGGTAACTCTCTCGGTTGAATCTTTTATCTCCAGACGGCACCAGAGCGATGGTCTGCTGGGTGGTCAGCCGCAGCTCAGGGCCAATCTCCGGGGCTGCCAGTCGCCCCAGCGGCACACTGCCAAGTCCAGCCTGGAAGAAGACTTGAAGAAGCTCATCACACTTGACAGCCCTCCACCTACTACAAGTGAAGAGAAGGTACTGGGAAAGGCTGTGGCCTAACTGAATATACTAATGCTTGTAACATGGACCAACATAGCATTCAGACTGCAGGCCAAAGTGACCCAAATCTGATTTTTTTGCTCATACGTGACTTAGATCTGAAAGTGGGAACAGTCCAAGTCACACGTTGTCTGATCTTTTCCAGTTTGGATTTGTTTTTTCATACGTGGTGCAAATCAGATACAGGTCATATTTTTTTTAATGCGACGTCACTCTGGATGGTCAGATCACAATTCATGCAACTCTGTCGTCACTCTAGATCAGTGGTTCTCAAACTTTTTCTGGCACACACCCTTTCAGAAGCCAAAAATGTTCACGCACCCCCACTCCAGCAAAAGTGTATTTCAGTTTTAGCAATCATTAACAATACAGGTGATTGAAAGAAACAAGAATCATGTTAGCAAAATAGCCTTGCTAGCATCAGAGCACTTTTGTTTGTTTATGTCACCACATGAATCATATTCATGCAACTTTAGGTCCGCTCAACATCCATGACCCTCCTGTCTCTACGCCCTGGGAGGCCTGCCCCCCTGTTTTGAGAGCACAATTAAGTAGCAGAAGTAGCAGCCATTGCCATAATCTGGCAAGTCTTTCTCCTCGTCTTGTTATCATTTGCTCACAAATTCCTTTCTTCCACTTGAAATCAACTTAAAAATAAAACTGTAGACGCTAACCTCTGTGGCCTCATGTTTACTTCTCTACGACAACCTGCTGTGTGTGATATCGTATTATAATTTTGCGCATGCGGTTCACTTTCAGGATGTGGCCAGTTCACACAAGTCTGATGTGGGCCGCATTTAAAAAATAAATACAATCAGAAATGAGCATTAAGGCCTACAGTGTGAACGCAGTAAATGTAGTACACTTATTCCCAACAAGGGGCACTTCAACCCCAGGGGTTACCTCTGCAGTTGTAAAATCAACTAAGCTAAACTAAAATTTAAATTTAAATTATTACAGTTTGTTTTAGGTTTTAACCATATACTGTATATAAGAAATGGACGTAGTCATCGTGATGTCAACCGTTGGTTTGTGGACTGCCGTTTTGAAGCCTCGAGTTTGGCCGATAGGGCGCCGCCATGTTGAGTTTTTGCAACCAGGAAGTGCCCGGAAGTGACGATACGGCGGAGCTAACGGCCGTGTGCGGAGCTAGCTAGCTTGCTTAGCTAGGTGCAACTGTAACTCACGTTAACTGTCATTTTAACAGGGCTGATAACTTTGTCTAGCGAACAACAGTCTTGAAACTAAATGTAATTCTCACCAGAGAAAATGAACAGCCAACTCCTAATAAGCTTTTTCAATAGTGCTGGTTAAATTTACACAGTGCCGAGGGTATGAGTCGGCTCTAGCCTGATTGACAGGTCGCCATGGTAACGACTTGTCAATCATAGATAATCCCGCCCTGAAACATACTCTACTTTGTGGTCTATTTTAAAATAAATGGGACCATAATTTACTAAATGAACATCATGCTGCGACTGAGACCATAAACTCATCAGGAAAGTGTTTACTGGGGTAATTATTCAGCTGAGAAGTAGGGTCATTTTCCCATTATTTCTAATGGAGCCGGACTTCTTTTTGCAACCAGAAGAGTCGCCCCCTGCTGGATTTTCAATAGAATGCAGGTTTCAGGGACTTCCGCATCGGCTTCATATTGTAGACCGGAATTTTCCCGCTTGGTTGAAACACATTACCACTAGTTAGCAAGCGAGCAGATAAGTTGAGATAGTTGTCTAAAAGTAATAGACAAGCAATTGAAATAGCTAGCTGAAAGTAATGGATAAATTGTTGAATTAGTTAGCTAGAAGTAATGGATAAAGTAATGCCTAAGCGGTTGAAATAGTTATCTATATGTAACGAATACATTTTGAAAATGTTAGCCAAATATAATAAGTCATTTATAAACAGTTTAAATATTTAGCCAAAAGTAATTAAGAAAAGTTGGCACAGTTAGGCAAAAGTGATCTATAAATGGCTGAAACATCTAGCTTCTGCCCGCTCCAAGTGGTAGTAGTAAATGCTAACTTGCTAATGCTAGCAAAGCAAACTTAAAAAAAAAAAATATATATATATATATATATATATATATATATAATATGTACACTTAATAGTGTTAAATAACATCCACTTCAAAAATCCGTTAATAAGAACATATTTGGGTGGGGCTGACAAAGAACCACTTACTTAATATAACTTAATAACAATTGTTCACTTAAGTGTTTTTTAAGGGATTCTTTTAATCAAATACCATTTGCAGTATTTCTCTTTCTTTGTCTTACCTGAGTCCTGTCACTTTCCATCCCTATTCAAAGCCATTGTTTCCTGGTCCGCCTCCCACCCGTCGCTCCCTCCAGAGAACCCTGTCAGATGAGAGTATTTACAGTGGGCAGAGGGAGCCATCCTCCAGTGGACAGCGTGACACGCCTACTGACCTTCTGTTCAGCTGCTCCACCATGCCACGCTCACCCACCACTCGCCATGGACCAAGCCAGCGAGCGTCACACAAATCCCTGGGTGAATCTTCAGTATTTATAGCTGATCATAGAGGAGGTGGAGGTGTGATACATATTGTCCTGTGGTCCTTTGTTTGTAGTTATAACTAAAGTAATGAAGTAGGATCATTTGATTTGCAGTACATACGTCATCAAATAATCAGGTTTGTAACTTTAATCTCAAAAAAATGAAAAAAAGACTCCTCCAAAAGCTCAAATTAAATGTAGCATCACTGTTGGTTGTGAAATTTCTCTATTTTTCTGTCATGGGAGAACAGATACAAAAGCTGTACAGTGTGTTTTACTTTGCTGTTTCTCATCCCCAGGAGACCTGTCAGCCCCAGAGAGCTCAGAGCTGGAACAGGAGAAGAAGAGGCAGCAGCTGCAGGACGCTGTCCTCATGCCCCTTCCTGACACTGGGGCAGATGGCCCGCTGGACTGGGCCCACCTGGTAGACGCTGCCAAGGCCTTTGAGGGTAGGCACACGTCGTGTTTTCATTTCCTCCTTGAAATCATTGGAAGTGAAGGTTAATTAGTGACATTTCTTTTCAATGGGAGATGTGGCAGAAAAACCCACCGGTCATCTTTATTCTCATCAGAAGAGGGCACTGTTAGTCTGTATTTGTTCTCTCTCTAGATCTGCTACTAATGACTTGGAACTGTTTTTTATTCAGAGCAGAGGCTGGTCTATCTAGCAGCCCAAGAGGAGAGCTCCATGCCTGAGAACGCAGCAGCCACCAGCCCCCAGCAGGCAGAGCCTCAGGCAGCCCCGCTGAGACAGCCATCGCCTGGGTAAGAGGCCTAAGGTTATGGCCTGGGACCAGTGTTTGCTTTAATCCACTGGTGTCCAGCACTGTGCCATGGAAGAGCCTGCAGATTTCACTCCAATCAAACACTACTGCAGCTGATATTACTAATTAGTCCTCCATTCCGGTTTAAAAAGTAAAAAAAAAAGTAAAATCAGCAACCAAACTATTGTTTGGCTGAAATGAAAGCATTTGTAAACCTCCATTTCGTAGGACTTGAAAAAGGCACTTTTTCACTGGCGCAGTTTTAACCTCTGCTTCTCTCTGAAGTGTTTGTGTTTGTGTTTGTTCTGGTTGTTCTTTTTTATAGAGAGACTCCAGCCTGCCTGATGGGGAAGGTCAGTCAGCTGGAGTCAATGGTGAAGGTGCTACAGGAGGACTTGAAGAAGGTGAGTTATGGTTCAATAATTAGGTATACAGCATGTAAAGCTACTACAGCCATTGGAGAAGTTATGAACATGGAATAGAGCATAGATTTTTTTATTACATTACATGTAACATACAGATTAAGACTGACAATTTGTTATTGTTTTGATGTCAAGATCTAAGATCACATTGCTGAGATACAGTATGTCTTTATCACCATCAGGAGAAGGACGCCAAAGCATCACTGCAGGCTCAGATCCAGGGCCTGCGAGAGGACAACCAGCGTCTCTTGGAGGAGTCCTACAGCGCCTCAGCCAAGCTCAAAAAGTTCACCGAGTGGGTCTTTAACACCATCGACATGAACTGATGCACAGAACCACCGATTGCTCTGCATTAGGAGTTTGACCACTTCACAAACTGATCTTTATTCAGTACTGCACTTACAACAGAACTACTCATAAAAAAACTCACAACATGAACTGTTTCTCTTGGGCTTTTACAAACCAGTACCATCCTGGATTTATATGCCATCCTTCCTCGGCCTTGTGTATCTCTGGTCTAATCACGATGACAGGGGAATAGAAGAAAAGGAGCAGTGGTGCGACTGTGTTCCAGTTTTGATCAGCATGCACACCCTTCCTTAAGAATTTTGCAAATATGATGCTTTGTGTCCAATTTATTGGATTGTTGGTATCCCTGCATGTCAGAGAAAGCAAGATGTTGAAACTAACCTAAAGGGATTTAAAGTTAATGTTCCCAATTTACCTCCCCAGCTAACCTAATTACAAGTGAACAGATTTTCAATTAAAAAGCTTTGACACAATTTAATATCATCCCATGCAAGAGTCTGATAGAGGATAGAGGTTGACTCAAAGGCTAAGAATTAAATGACAGTGTTATGTAAATTAATTGCTGTTTACACATCCTTTAATTGTCCCAATTCAGTGATAATGGCACTGAATTGTTTTATTATAATTATTTTTTATTACTAGACAAAAGAAAAGAAACTATAAGAGATGATGGTAGATGTCATCCCCCATTAGACACTGTGCTACTGTGCTTTTTCAGTAGCGGGGGGGGTGTAGACACAGACAGACAGACCCTTTGCATAGCACATAAATGTAACACTGTAAAGTCAACTCTGTGCTGACTGTGGCACGATTGTACAAGTGTATGAAATGTTTTATTTCTAGAGGGTTAAAAGCGAATAAAAGTTATATATATAGGACTACTGGTCCCAAGGTGATGAAAAGAATATATATATTGTAAAAAACACAGAACAATATGTGTGCCATAAAGATAGAGACTGACAGTCCAGTGTCACTTATTCAGATTATTGTAAATATATGACGTTAACATTTATTTTCTCACCTCTGCCCTTGATATGATACGTAAAGAATATTTATGACAAAGATAATGGCCAAGAAAGAAAAACAACCATATGCAGTTAGACATCTGCATGTACTTATATATAATGGTCAGTATTCTACATGAATATATAGATATAGATATATATATCCTTTAAATCCAAATTAAGTTTTCAACAGGAGAACGCTAGCTTTTGTTTACTAATTCTTATGTTTTTTTGTAAGTCCTTACAGTTTATTTCCAGCCTTGCCTGCTGCAGTGGATTGATTGACAGTGCTACCTAGTGTTGACAACATGTAAAATGCGACATGGAGCTGACCCAGTCCTCCAGCCATAGCATGCTAAAAGGCCTCAGTCTGATCCTTACTTCTCTCAATAGATTAAATTGGTACTGTTCAATATATGATTACATAGTAGGATATTGTGTAAATCCTGAAATTCAAGCTACAGAGCTTTCTGTAAATAAACATCTGCTTGTAAGCCTGACCTGAATTTGGTCAGTAGATGACCCGACAAAGTCCTTATTTAAGCCTCATAACTGTTTCCTTTTGTACTAAGATACTGTGCAACTGTATATAAGGAGAATTTGATATTCATCAGAATTTGCACCTTCATTATTTTTTAAGATTATTTTTGATGTATTTCTGCTTAATTGGCTAGGATATAGTGGAGAGTGAAAGGACCAATATCAAAGATAAACAGGGGATAAGACTGGACAAAGACCACAAGCCAGGATCAGACGAATGAGCCCGGACCCCTAGCACAGCAGATTGCCCCTGCACCTTCATTCTTAACATGTGTGACAGCATGTGATTCTGTTTCCATTGAGCTGTGATGTGTAAAAATGTTTATATCTATTAAAGATATTTTGTTGAATTACACTTTGTCTTACAATGTGGTCTTGTTGGCGTGGTGTTTTGTGGGAGATATAACATGATTTAGACCCACCGTTAATATACCATTTTATGGTTGTTGCTAATGATAGAAAGACAGATTTCCCCCAAACCGTCCTGTGTATGTTTTAACAGGACAAAAACAGGAGCCTTCGAAGTAGGCTGTAAGAGTAAATGGATACTTGTCAGTGGCCTGACAGCAGGTGGCTGCCTGCTGTTGTGTTGTGATTAACAGCGCTGCTGTCTTTCCACTTTGGCATGATTACACAAGGCAGTCGCCCTGACAGAGACAAGTCTAAATCAGACAGATTGATGGATGAGGATAACCTGAGAAACACCAGGGTGAAGACATTTACGATTATGGATCCAAGCAATTACTGGAGTGTGATGTCTTGCAGAGTTATGGCTAAAAATTAGATAATTAGATGTACATTGATAGAGGTATTGGTAGCTAGAATTGTTCCTCCTGACCATACTGGTGACCATGAAGACATCCCTTTCTAATGTGATTCCAATGGCAGAGATGGGGGACAAATCCATAGTCCTAAGTCTGCACAAAATTGCATTTGTGAAGGTGAAGCTAATGAGGCATCAGCAGTTTGAGTTAGATAAATCAAGTGGACGTCTTCCAAAGAGTCATTATAGTACAAAATTCCCTCTTCTGTCTCCACATTGTTTCCCTGATGGCCTGCAGTGGAGGTAGGCCTGTAGTAACAAATAACATGTCAGCAGCTCTGTACTTTGGCATGGCGGGTCTTCGGGCTACAGTGTATGGGTAACTTGCTAACTTAGTTTAGTTTAAACTGTTTAAACTGTAGACTGTTTGCTCAAGATGAAACAAGAAGAAGAGGATCACTAAAGTCACAAGAATTGCTTTTCAAGGGGCCTGAAATATCTGTAAAATTAATAAATAAATTTCATGGCAGTCAATCCAAAAGTTATTGAGATATTTCATCTGACAGACTGACATTGCTAAGCCATGCTGCTAGCATGGCTAAAAAAAAGGGCATTTCATATTAAAAAGACTATCTTTGAAAGATAACTTGATTTATTATTAACTTAGACTGCTGAAGCCACACATTAGCTTTAAACTTCAGAACACACTTTGGGTAGAACAAGGACTGTGACTGTCCCGCATCTCCTGCATTCAAATGCATCAGTCAAGGGCTCTCTAGCTCAGCTAGTATGGAGAGAAGGAACAATTAGAGCAACCAGTATCTCTCTCAACATTCATATGGGCACATGCATGGTGTTGTAAGACAGTCCTGAAAAGTTGTGATCCTACCCTTTAAATCGTTTCTTTAAACAATAAATGTCTCTACTGCATCTCCACATGTTTATATGCAACATCCTCACTGTAGGCTATGTATTTCTTCAGTTAATAAATAGCCTTCACAGGACTCCTCTTCCATTACTTTACATGCAAGCTGTATCTCTTGTGCTGTGTGTGTGGCCAGTAGTGTTGCTCTCTGGTAGTGGTGTGGCTATGGACAGGCTGTTCAATAATTTAGCATTAATGCAGATTATAGCAGGGCTGGCCCCCTTAAAGCAGATTAGAGAAGTCCCTGTCTGTCTGTCTTCCTGCCTGACTGTCTGCCTGCCTGTCTGTCACCTTGTTGATGATGGCATTCCTTAATGCTGCAGCATTATGGTCATAGGACAGGAAGATATGCTGATTGCAGGCCACTGCAGTGTGGGTCATGTGTGTGGTTTATTGTAATCTGGGGGGGGGGGGGGGGGGGGCTATCCTGCTATATTGCTGTGATAGCAGAGCTCTAATAATGTGTGTGTTGGGGGGTGGGGGCTATGCTGCTCTTAACCTGCAGAAAACAAATGTGTGGGGTAAGCACTGTGAGCCGGCAAATGGTTCCACACTGTAAGACGCACGCCACTCACATGGGTGTGTGACCTCTGTTTCCCTTGGTTACCACATTTACTGAGAACAGCAGTTTTGAGTTGAGTTAAAATTTTCTTTTCATCTGCTTTCGCCTGAAGAAAAATCCTGAACCCATTGGAGCTACTTTTAATAATAAGGCTTTTCATCTGCTTTCGCATGATAAAAACCTGCTCATTGAAGGCCTTTTCTGCGTGTGAAATTTGAAGCGCCTCAGATATTTCCAAAAAGCAATGAAGACGGGGCTTTACAGAGCCAGGACCTTCGCTTGGATAACAACACACAGCTAAAAGAGAGATGAACGCGTACTGGTGAAGAAAAGAAAGCAACACAGCTCTTTGATAACTGGTGAACTGGTTCTGTCAACACGAACATCTGTATGTGTGTGTCTGTGTGTGTTCACTCTCCATGCATGCATTCACAAATTGGCCATGCCATGTATTTCTGGAGTATCATGCTTGGGGGCTTTTGGGATCTCATTTATTGCAGAAAGAAAAAAGAAAAGGTTCATTCGTTCGGGTTGCCATTTAAGCTTGAATGATTCCTGAGTTTCCTTGAAGAGAGAGCGAAGGAGGAGAACATGCAAGAGTGGAGTAGCTGGAGACAGAAACAGAAAGCGTGTTTGCCACCCTCAAGCACAAAAATTGGAATTTATATGCAAGGAGATAAGACAACGCTTCAGAAATACAAATATAAGTTGTGGAAATGTGTCTAACTTTGGATCATAGCCTCTCACACATGAGCTTTGAATGGGATTTGAAAAGCATTATCTTTGAGGTTGCTTGCTCAAAGAGTCTGGAACATATATTTATAGCCGGCGTCTGTGTGTGCACAGTAACAGTAACTTGTTTTCATATTAGCATTTCAATATCGTCCTAATGAAATGTTTCTCATTTTCAGCATCAGTGGGCGCTGCTGCAGTGTGCATGGCTCTGTCCTCCTTTTCTCTTCCCTGTGCAGCCACTGCTCTCTCTCTCTCTCTCTCTTTCTCTCTCTCTCTCACACACACACTCTCTCTCTGCCTCATGCACACACACGCACACAAACCCTCTCTCTGTCTTTCTCCTCACTCTATTTTCCTCTTTATATTCTCTCTAATTCCTTCATCCCTCCCCCTTTTCCAACTTGATCTGCCCCCTCTCTATTGAAAAGCATCTCCCTGCCTTTCTCTCTCTCTCTCTCACACACACTCACTCTTTCGCTCTGGCTCGAGCACAAGCAGACAGAGGGAGAGGGGGGATGAACGAGGTGCACACATGTGAGGATCTCCTGAACTGCCGGGGCAAGGCAGGACTGGTGAAGAGAGAAGAAGAGGAGGAGGATGAATAGAGGAATACTGCAGTGACCAGCCAGCTTGTCTCTCTCTCTCTCTCTTTCTTTCTCGCTGCTTCACTGCTTTCATCAAGTCTTCTTCATCCCCTTCTCTCCCCCTCTGCCAATTATACCATGAACCTGCCTGCTGCTTGTTGCTAAGGGGGAGCCAACCGGGGGAGCAGAGTGGACCAGGCATTCTTTAGTTTCTAAGGTAATGAATGCTTCAGTAATGGCAACTGTCAGGTGTCACAGATGTTGCATTGCACTCGGCTGCTCGCCTGCTGAGACTGAACAGGGACTCACAGTCACACTGTGGTTTTGGGTATATCTAGAGCACTGCTTGTTTTGTGCATGTTTGTGTGTGGGCTCCAGTTTATTCAGTTTGTTTCAGTTGACTGGGCGTCTGTTGGCCTGTTTATTCGAGCCACTGCAGGGGTCTCTGCCCTGTGAATATGTGTGTGTGTGCAATGTCCTTTAAGTGTTTGTCTCATAAATGGTGTTTGCTGTGTGCTTGGATTTGAGGTTGCGCATGTGAAGAGATGAATGCACAGTGGTGCTCTGGCTGTTAGCCACTGTCAGAGTCCATATTCCATCCGTTTCACTTTGACACAAGCTTTCAATTAACATCTTGGACTGGCCCTCAGTGGAGTTGCATGCTTGAACAGCTTGATTGGGAGGAAGGTGTTCTCTAGAATTACACCTTCTTGTCCACAGGGGACCTATTGGCACACTATTGTTTTCTTTAAGCAGGTGCCATGCAATCCATATTGCCTGCCTTTCTATACCGCCCTTGAGGCGGATGCAAAGATTAGCTGTCTAATGTGCTCAGACTCTAAAAAGAGCACAGGCGTGTTAGCCAATGGGGAGTGCTGCACTCCGCACTTCTGGTGGCAATAACAAACACTAAGGCGAGAGCGGATGATTACTTATTCACTCATGCGTATCGCCATGTTCAGTGGTATAACAGATTTAAGTGTTCAACTATGGTGACAAAGCCATCTTGCATGTCTACTGTCGTGTAAGCCAGCGCTGAATTTTAACAACTTCACTTTCAACCTCTCTCCACCAGAGTCATTATCTGCAGTTGTTCAAACTTGTAACATTGCACAGCTACAATTACATAATTCAGCTACTTCAAATCCCTTGCCAGTGGCTGGCCCTTGGCAAAATGCAGTGTCACTAATTCAGTTAATATATAAAGGTTTCATATTGTGCCTGACATGAAATGCTGTCTGTTTCCTCTGTGCTATCTCCCCCTCTAGAGCTCATCAGAGTCCTTTTCCAACCACAAATAGCTGTTACAGTGAAAAGTGAGGCCCAGTGAGCTGTGTGATTTCTTTTTCCTGGCAGCTTTATCCACTCGCACTTTATAAGTACCAAAAATTATGAATGTGTCCCCCCTTCACCCCTCTTTCATCCACACAGTGAAAGGACTAACAAATGGCTCAACTCATTTAATACACACGGGAGTCTTCAATGGCAAATGGTGATAGATGGGGTTAAGGAGGTTCGTTGAAGCACAGTCGTCAGTGTAGGTTATGGAAATCCTTAGTTAAGCAGAATTAATTCTCCTGAGAGAATGAGAGGGAGGGAAAAGGGAGAAGTGAAGGGGACTGTGTAGAGGTTGTAAATAAATCCTCTAACAGTAGCTCTCAAAGTATGAAGCTTCAGGGGGGGTTAATGTGGGGAGTGCAGGCAGATCGGAGGTAACAATCATATGATTGCAGCTAATGGAGTCAACACTTGTGCTTAGCATAAAAACAACAACAAACACAGTGGCTACCTTTGACCAGTTAAAACTATCAGTATCACCTCAGTGAGGCTTCATTTATTATGAGCATCAGTTGTTTTTTTGTAAAGAAAGATGACTCATCAACCCCACAGCCACATTGACTATGTGTTGTAGACACACATCTGTGCTGTATACATAATTACTGCCATCAAGACTGTATGCAGTGGGCTCTAAACCTTTTTGTTGGATAACTTAAGTGCTCCTTCATTGACATCACCCGACATGTTAAAATATTAATTTGAGTTGTTTTTTAATGTTATTTGCATATCAATTACAGAAAAATGTATGTTGTTGCAATATTTAAAAAAATAAATACAATTGAACCATAATGTTGTCAAGTTTGCATTTGGACTACTACCACGAAGTTTCATCCATTTATACATTACCTTTTGGTATCTCACCTGTTAATACCTTACTTTTAGTTATTTCTACTACTTAGTTTAGCTAGCTAGCTATGTATTGTTACTTTTAGGTAACTATTAACTATCAAACATTTATTCCTGACTTTTAGCTGTATTTCGGTATTAACTATCAAATGTTTATACATTACTTTTAGCTAAGGCTAGTAGTTTGAACTCCTATTCATTACTTTTAGCTGTCTATTTCAACTAGCTCTGTAGTCATCCATTACTTTTAGCTGCATCTCACCTGTTAATACACTACTTTTAGCTAGGCCTACTATATATTTAAACCGTTTAAGTGTAGCTACTGTAATTCAACTTGCCATGTATTTATTACTTTCAGGAGCTATTTTAAACATTTATACTGACTTTTAACTATATTTCATTTGTATATTACTTTTAGCTAACACTAACTGTTTCAACTGTTTATTCATTACTTTTGCTGTTTACCTCTCTGCTCATGTAAACTTTTCACACTCAATTGCAAGTATTGACATGTTACAGTTAATTCAAAATACAAATTGTTTTTTATTCAAATCATAATCTCTCTTTTTTCAAATTAGTTGAGCAACTCCATCTTTCATGTAGCCTGGGGGTGACTTCAGAAGTACCTCACAAGTACCCCCGGTACTTATTGTATGCTCATGACTTGACTTTGTAGCGTAGTTAATATTCACCTTACGTCGGTCTACCTGAGCTACTTTATCTGTCCCTGCTGTGGCAGGCATCTCCTTTCCGAGACAGCAGCATACATTTTGTCAGCTGAATGTCACGATGATAAAGACTGGAGGAATGTTAGTTCCAAGGCATATAGAAATGCTGGCTGATGTTTATCAAATCGTCAGTTTGTGTTCTTCCACCATTTAGTGGATGTTGGGTGCAGCGTTAATGTGGTTTATCTGTTTCATCGGCAGGACTGAGTGAAAATGGCAGAGGGGTCCAGAGACCAGGCAGGCGTGGGAACCACTGATCCTGAGGAGGACTCCCCCAACATGATTGTCTACAGAAAAGTAAGACTCTGTGTGTGTCTTACAGTATCTGGCCTATATGAAGGGAGAAACATTCGATGAGAGGCAATGACCCGTAGACAGGCTTCTGACAGCCCACTGGTCTGTATCAGAGTGGCTATGCCACACACTGGTTTCACTGTCAAACTCAGGTGTCAGCCTCTCTTTCAACCATCTTGAAACGAGCTTAGCTCTGTCTCTCTCTCACTTTCAGTGCTTCTCTCATTTCAGGACCCTCTCCCTACCACTGTACCATCACTCGTCTGGCAAACTTCAGCTCTCCAGTGTTTTAATAAGCTCTCAGTGCCATCAGTGAGGGTTTTAGCAGTGAGAGGTCCTTTTAGTGTCAAGGGTAATTGCCTTGTCCCCATGGTGCCTCACTTTCAATAGCTGCTGTTTGATTGGAGAGTATGAGCAGTATTGGTGGCTAATTACGTGGATGTTCAGCTGGGAGGAAGTAGCTGATTCTCAAGGGCTGCGACTGAGAACGGCCAATGTGGTCCTCCTCAAATGGCGAATAGCTTGTTATTTCTCTGCCAGTACTGTGACAGCCCTATTAAAAAAAGCTTCAAACTTAAACCATGGGATCCACTGCTTCTACCAAGCCTGCTGTCTTAGTTACAGTACAAAAGTGTGCCATAAGCGCGACAGAGTTGACAGATCCTGTCCCAAATCTGTTGTTTCTTCCGGCTCCTAATGATTGTCTGGGTACATAGCGAGGTAAACAGATTAGTGGATGGATGGGACAGGATGTGAAATAATTGTTGAAAGTGGCTGCTTTACCATTTCTCTTTTAGGAGTGTTGTTAACTACGTGTCACTGTGGAGTTTAGGGCTTGGTGACAACTTGAAGAATTTCCGGTAAACCTCCATCATTGTAATACACACATCTAGTCTGCAGCTCACCTGGAAAAACTGTCAGGGGATCCTTTGTTCTCAGAATCTCTCTACTTGATAATTATGCTACTAGGAATGTGTGCTGTGTGAATGTCACACGTCAGCAGTTGGCAGCAGTTGGCAGTGGAAGTGCATTGCCAGCAATAATTCACCTGTGTGCTGTAAATACTCAATCTGTTAGTGTAGCAGTGGGCATTTCTAGTCTCTTAAGGTCTCTGCCAGGAATCTAGGAATGGTAATCAATATTCAAATCAGAACTATGACCATCTTGAGACACATGGCATCCCTCCCTGAAGATTGGATTTCATGACAGGTGTCAAAAATATTTGTGTACTGCATGTGGGCCTGTTTTGTGTGCATGTTCTACATGGTGACGCATTTGTTGTTTATTCACTGTTGTCATTATCCTCCGTGTATTCTAAGAAGCTGTCACACTGCAGAGAAACATACTGTAGTTGCTTGTAATACTGGGTATCTTCATGGGTTTCACAGCGGAGCCTCATTACGTAACGCTACACATGCCTGGAGGCAATGCATTTAAGAGGCTAGTTTTTGCTTGTCAGAATGCTGCCTTAAGGGAATATTCATCATTTCATGTTTTAGTCATACGCAGTGACAACAGACAGATGATTCCAAGAGTGACAGGATTTTTCTGCCCTTCCTGCTGCTTTGAAAATGGGATTTTTGATTTGAAGCGTTTGGGAAGAAAGCCAAGAATGCTATGAAGCTGGATAAGCAAAATGTTTTTTCACATACAAAGAAATAAGAATGTGAGACCAAATATTTATCTTAGGACATGGTCCTAATGTAGTACCTGACCTTTAACGTAATTGCTATTTCTTTTATTCTTATATCTCATCTCAATCAACCACTCACTTTCTGAAGAGGCTAAATGATAGTGAGGTGCTGGGTCTTTGAAGGCAGGGCGCCGATGGCCTCTGTACTCTCTGGGTGGGTAGCCTGGCGCAGTGTGAAAACGCTGCTTGCAGAGATGCAGATGGCCATCAATATGCTCAGCCGCTTGGGAAAACACTGGAAGTTTCATGTTAAAGGCCTGAGCCCCTGTCAGCTGGAAGATCTCAGTATCTTACTGCAAGGAGCAAAAGTTAGTGTAATCCTTGTCAAGAGATACAAATATTTAGTTTGGGCAGCACCTTTGTGAAATGTATAGAAGGTAAGGCTTGAAATACCCTTACATATATTGCTATATCTGTTGCAAAAATATTAAGTAAACCATGTAGGCAGTTAGACAAAGGTGAATGTGATGTATTTAGCCATTAGGGAGGCTGAGTGCTCAGGAGGGGAGGAGGCTGTCTCTGTCCATGCAGTGTAGTTGCTGCAGTGCTATCTTGCTCTGTCTCTCTCTCCTCCCACGAAAAGGAGGAAGTGAAGCACAACAATCCAATAACTGCAGGACGTCTTATTGCCTCAAAAACTTGTGGAGAAAATTTGGTCTAACAGAAGTAGGTTGCACACATACTGTAAGAGCTCACACACACACACACACACACACACACACACACGGGAACTCACACACAAGCTTCCCATTGCTTTAATGCACACTCCCTGCTCCTGTTGTTGTGTCCTGTTCTTCCTTGCTATGTTTGGCATGCTTGGGAGACGGGTATTTGGGGTAAATAAATAGAACTGGCACCAAGAGACACACACAAAAAAGAAACCATTATGAATGCAATTAGGCTGAGGAGAGAGGCCACTTTACAGCTCTGATGGGGTAAAGCTCACAAACTATTAATAGTGAACAAGTCTTGTGCATGAGTCTACCCCTTTCCCCCTTGGGGGCCGAGACTATTGCTGTAATGGCTTCCTTGTTTTTGACACACACAATTAATTGTTGCAGAAAGACTAACATTAAGTGCTGCATCCCCTTCCTCCTTTTATTCAGGTCATTAAGTGTTTAAGTTGTCAACTGACACCTGCCATAGTAACCTAGGTGTGGTACAGTGACACAAAACTTTCATCTAGATGAGTTTTATGAGCCAAGTAATGATCCATGCAAGGAAGTTCTAGGTGCCGGTGGCATTTGGGTGTGTATAAATTTTAGCACTCCGTTAGCAGAGAGTACAGTTTGGTTGACCATTGCAAGTGTGTTATTTTCTAGCTCACTATACTGCTAGTAAATGGATGCAAAAGTGAGGTGCTCTAACTGTAAGATAAATCAGCACAGAAAATCCACTTCACCGCAGGAAATCCACTTTTTAACTAATGGCATGGCTCTTGAGATGGCCATGTCTGTGGGTTGGTCAGCCCACCACTTCCATACTGAAATGTCTCCAGGATGGATTGCCATGAAAGTTTATACAGATGGTAATGGGCAAAGGATGACTCATGAAAACTTTGGAGATATCTCCTGTTGGGGTTGTCCTAAGGCAGGTTTTGATAGAGGACTTTTATCTGTCCTTTTAGCATGTGTTAGATGTGCTGCTGGACAATACTTCTCCACCTCCCTATCTAGTTTATTATTTTCTTCAAATTATAAACTAGACAAGTCAAATTCTCATCAAATTCTGTTAGATTAACATTTTGACTGCATTTTTTCAGCAATTTTGTCCAAAGCGCTTTACAACTTGTCTCTCACTGTACACACAGAAGGTGCTGGTCTGACCTTTGGGGTTCAGTTCATTTGGGGATAGGAGGAGCTGGGGATGGAACCACCATTCCTGTAATTAGTGGGTGACCTGCTCTACCTGAGCTGCACTGTTCCGTACTGTTAATCCACACTTTTTAGCTTAGCTTACTTAGGCAAATCAGGTGAAATTTCTCTTTGTCCAATATTTTTGACCAAATGTGTTTATGAGTAGCATGAAGGGGCTACAAATGACATTTCATTGTGAAAGCCTGTGTTGTAAAATGACAAATAAATGACCTTGATTTATTTCTTGAAAACTAGCAAATGTTAGCATGCTAAAACACTAAAATGCCACCTCCTAAACATTAGCACATTATAACATGGACATTATGAGCATGTTAGCATGCTTTAGTTCAATGCACTACTCTTGCTAAATACAACCTCATCAAGCTGCTAGTCATTTTTTTAAATACCTTTTCTTTTTCTCCCCTCTCCAGACATTTTTCAGCCTTTCTTCTGCGTCTTGCTAATTAATAATTGAAGCTCATTTCAAGCATTCCATTTTTGGAGAAATATCTGGGCCTCTGAGACATCATATCCCCCCCATTCATTTATTCATACCCAGCACAGTTTGTGTCATCATTTGGTATTTTTATCCATTAATATGCGTCTAAATTTGAGGAGAGGAGGACTAAAGGGTGGGGAAACAATAGATGTAAAGAAAAGATGGCATTTAATGCCTTAACAAAACACAATATTTCAGAATGTCAGAAAAACAGGTCTTTGAATTTGCATTTGCATGATCATTACAGTGTTGCTCATGTAGCAGGAGCTGTGGGGTGACTAACATATTATCACACCTGTGTCACTCCTTCAGATTGGATAGATGTTAAATCCAACAAAGCCTGAGTGACAAGAGAAGAAGAAATTACAGTCAAGGCCAACTTTGACCTCTCACACCATTACATAGTGACTGTCAGCTGGTTGGGTTTAGCATAATTTAGAGACAGGACACAGAGGGAGTTCACTCCACACCTACAGTGCGGATGATATAGAGGTATGTGAGATATGTTTAAAATGACAGCAATAACACTACCAGAGAGACATGGAATTTCCCTTGAGTGGCAGGAGAAGATGAAATCACTGTAAATGGCAGCTTCCCACATCGTCCATTCACCTACCACAGCAGGGACAGACAGCTGGTTGGGTTTAAAGTGCCTAGAGGACTGAATTGCTCTAGTTCTGCTGGTCAGAAGGAAGCTTGCCTGCCTGTCTTTCTGCTACCACCCATGAGTCACACTCTCTTCTCTCTCCAAAGGGGTCCACGGAGGGCCTATCTCTCCTCTTTCAAGGCTAACCTCCATCCGGCGTGTCTATGGGACACTATTCGCCATTCCTGTGTGCACTTAAGATAGTGCAGTCCAGCTGAACGCTCTGGATATCACTTCTGCAGCTGTGGGGATGAGTTCTCCCAGTGCTTTATCATGTATGACCGTTTTAACACCATCTCCACTTGCACC